AAAAAGATTAAAAGTAAATTAAGAGATGTATAAATTTAGAAAAAAAAAATAGAATTAACTTATTTGAAATTTGAAAATAGTATAATGGCTATTGGCCCATGTGCCCAACTCTAATTTTAAAAATGGTGTTATATGATGGGTTCTCGGGAGTGGACAAAAGGAATCTGGCAGATTTTTTAACGGAAAAGAGTTACACCTCATGACTATATGTCAATATTGGTATTATTATATTAGTTATCAATTTTTTTATTTCTATTTTTTTGAAAATCGGGAAAAATGTTAAATAGGCCCCTAAACTTTACACCAAAAGTCAATAGTTATGCTGTGCAACCGAATGTACCATGCGCATGGTGCATACGGTTCAAAACGACGTCGTTTTGATTAAAAACGCGCGTCCCACTTAAAAAAAAAAAAAATCAGGTTCGACTCTCAGCAATAGCATTATTGTGGATATATAGTTATGAAATTGTGGTTATATAGTTATGAATTTATGGATATTTAGTTCATTCATTGTGGATATTTAGTTCAATCATATATTGTGGATATTTAGTTCATTCATTGTGAATTTTTACTTCATTCATTCATTCATTGTGGATTTTTACTTCATTCATTCATTCATTGTGGATTTTTACTTCATTCATTCACTGTGGATATATAGTTATGAAATTGTGGATATATAGTTATGAAATTGTGGTTATATAGTTATGAATTTATGGATATTTAGTTCATTCATTGTGGATATTTAGTTCATTCATTGTGGATTTTTACTTCATTCATTCATTCATTGTGGATTTTTACTTCATTCATTCACTGTGGATATATAGTTATGAAATTGTGGATATATAGTTATGAAATTGTGGTTATATAGTTATGAATTTCTGGATATATAAAAATGCTATTGCCGGGAATCGAACATGATTTCTTCTTTAAGTGGGACGCGCGTTTTTTTAACCAAAACGGCGCCGTTTTGCAACCGTATGCACCTTGCAAGGTGCATTCGGTTGCACAGCATAATTTGCGACTAAAAGTTAATTAGGCCCTTGAACTTTAAAAAGGTTCAATTAAACCCTCAAACATGTCAAATTGTATCAATGAAGTCCATGAACCTGTAAATGACCTGTGATTGCAGGTCATTTTAATTCAGGCGAAAAATCCGACGAACGGCGACAGTTATGACTCATGTCGCTGTGGAGGTCGGCAAACTACCACATCGTCAACAGTAGCAAAATAGCGGCTGACCTGGGTCTTCATCCTTGCTCGTTGACGCTGACATTCAACTACACCACTACTGGTTCTTGTCGACGAAGAAGGGGACTACAACAGTGAAGAGGACTTTTGCTCGCCGGAAAAACAGGGGAGAGGAAAGGAACCTCGTTGGAGAGAACATGGGACGCCACTGGTCGCTATTTAATTGGATTCATTTTTTTTATTTGGGCGTCGCATGTGTAATTGAACAATTATTTGGGCGATGCACGTTTAAATTTTTTTATTATATATTTAGATAATAAAATTAAAGATAAAATTATAAACAATTCTAATATTTGAAAATGTACATTTATTTAATTATAATATTAGTGCAAGAGTATCACTCAGTTAATTAAATAATGTATGACTTGTTCGTCTGCAACTACCTTAAAAAATCGATGTGCAATATAATTTATGTAATTATATTATTACTAAAATAAATATGAAGAAAATGAAGAAATACTTTAATTGTAGTTATTATACAAAATAACTTCAACGACCATGTTTACTGTAATTACTATAGTAATATATTATTAGGCAATTAAACTAATATAGGTGCAATTATACTCTTATACCTTAAGTATATTCTTTTTCACCATATAGGCTTTACTTTTTTCCTACCCCTCAATATCTTAATGAATTAATTGTAATTATTATACAAAAAATCAAACCACCCATGTTTAATTGTATTATACTACTATCTGTATAATTATTAGTTTAATTATCATAATAATTATTAGTCAATTATACTAATATCTGCGTAATTAATTTTTTAATTACCATAAAATTATTGAGTAATTATACTAATATAGTGCAATTATACTTCTATATTTACAGTATAATATAGAAATTACGCACCTTAATAAAGAAAACAATGCACCTTAAGAAGGCAAATCACGCACTTAAAGCTTTAAGTTGACTCACCTTAAGCACACAAACTACGCACCTAAGCAACTGTACAACCGCAAAGAAGGCCAACCGCACGAGAGCCCATATATTATACTCAAGTATATAAATATGTGTGTGTGTGTGTGTGTGTGTGTGTGTGTGTGTGTGTGATCCAGAAAATTATGTGAATGTGGGCGTAGTTCAAATGACTTTAGAAACAGATTAATGATAGTTAGGGGCGGAGTCAAAACTATACTTGCGTAGGGTTAAATTTTAAAACACTTTGAAATACTATAAAAATATTTATGGCAAAATATGAAACATAATCGATTAGATAAAATAGTTTAAATAGAAAAGACAATATATTTATAAATACTTTAATTTTAATTTTTTTTTAATTAGATTAACTTTAATTTTTTTGTAAATTAATTTGAATACAATGAAGTATAATATATACTTGTGAAATATAAACGTGTGGACTACATTCACACACAAAAATAGAACACCATAACAAATACTGCTAATGGGTTTTGATCCCATAACACCATAACAAATTCATGATTTCAACCAACTAAACTATTGAAATCTTTAGTAATTCATATGTTTATATTTAGAGTAAAAGACATTTTTGGTCCTAGACTTATAGTGGCTTGGACAATTTTAGTCCTTTATAAAAAAATTTGCCATTTTATGGACAGAGTTATTGTGGCGAGGACATTTTTGGTCCTCCGTCTATATTTTTGTTAGATAACCGTCTGAGAGAGGGGTAATTACGTCTATTTAGGCTATCTCCTTCTATCTATTATATCTATGTGTGTTTTGTTTTCTTCTCGGTCATAATTCGAAGGAGTCGGAGAGTCCAAGTTGCAGTAAAGACATGGTTGTGGGCAGAGCATTTCGTAGTGCAAAACTACAAATAAATGAGGGTCAGAGTAAAGGCATGGTTGTGGGACCAAAATCGTCTATCTCACAATAAAGAGATAGCCTAAATTGATGTAATTGCCCCTCTCTCATACGGTTATCTAACAGAAACATAGACGGAGGACCAAAAATGTCATCGCCACAATAACTCTGTCCATAAAATGGCAAATTTTTTTATAAAGGACTAAAATTGTCCAAGCCACTATAAGTCTAGGACGAAAAATGTCTTTTAGTCTTTATATTTATATAAAAGGGTTAGGGGAAGGGAGTGAGTAGGGGCAGCTACCCCTATGCTAGATCTGCCTCTGTGTGTGGTGTGTGTATGAAAATTAATTGTAATAATATTTTAAGAATATTTGGATCGATATATAATTATATATCAAAATTATATAACAATGAATATTATATAGTGCAATTGATGAAATGGATTGAATCGATTATGGTTTTTGAAGTTATTTTTACTTGAATTTGAGCAAATAATTGTCCAATTACATGGACGATGCATGGATAAAAAATTTTAATATATATTTAGATAATGAAATTATTGTATATATACTTCAAATAATATACATTCAATAAATAAATAATGTGTTTTTATTATATTTAAATGTATATTTTATTCATGGTTCACATGAAAATTTACCGGGTAAACTGAACTAGCAATTATTATGCTGTGGAACCGTGTCCACCTTGCAAGGTGGACACGGTTCCAATACGGCGCCGTTTAGCAATTTAGGAGTAACAGTGCCGTTAGTGGCATCGTTTTCCTCCACCAATCAGATTTAAAAAAAAAAAAAAATTGTCGAAACAACTTAGCGAGACATTGTGAATATAGAGTTCAAAAATTATGAACATAGAGTTCTATAATTATGAACATAGAGTTTTGTAATTATGAACATAGAGTTTTGTTATTGTGAATATAGAGTTCAATAATTGTGAATATGAAGTTCAAAAACTATGAACATAGAGTTCTATAATTATGAACATAGATTTCAGTAATTATGAACATAGACTTCTTAAAGACAAATGTCGTTAACGGCGAAAGAAATCAAATTTTTTATTTTAATTGACACGGTGTCGTTTTCCACCAAAACGACGTCATTTCGGCACCGTATCCACCTTTTCCACAGCAGAATTTTGCAAATTATTGTATGAACCATAAAAGAAAGTACATTTCAAATATAATAAAAGTACATTATTTGTGTATAGAATATACATTATATAAAATAATGTACTTTTAGTATTCAAATAATGTACTTTCTCTGAATACAAAGTAAATTTTTAATATACTAAAAGTACATTATTTGTGAACTAAATATACATTATTTTATAGTATACAAAATATGGTCCACAGAGCTTGTGTGCAGTTGTTATATCGTGCACCGTGCGTCAAAACGGCGCCGTTTCTGCAGTTATAACAGAGTGACACTACAGTGAGTCTAAACCGACAATGTCTCACGTATTATTTTTATATTATCAAAATGATACTGTAGTTGTGGTGAAATGAAACTACAGTATATATAAAATGAAACTGAATAACATTTCACATATTTGAGTGTATATTGTACAATGAAGCTGTAATTATATTGAAATGATCTTGTAGTTGTGCTTTAATGAAACTATAATGTATATAAAATAAAATTAAATAACATTTTCACATATTTGAGTCTATAAATATCGAATGAAACTTTAGTTATATCAAAATGAAACTATAGTTGTGTTAAATTGAAACTGTAGTGTATACAAAATAAAACAGAATAACAGAATTACTTTTGTAGAAGGGTGCAGAATGGCAAAAAACGAATACCGTTTCTTTTCTTTAATTAACAAAACGACGTTGTTTTGATGCGCGGTGCATAATTGATTATGCATCGCGTTGCCCAGTATAATTTGCCACTAGTTCTATTTAAGACGACTCATCCGTGTGAGACTCAAGAGTCAATGTCGAACTCAAAAACCGGATGAAGATGAGGGGGAGACGGGTAGTCAAGTGGTATGTAGAAGAGGCATATTTCGGTTTGTGCGTGAATCTGACGCCTAGCTTTTGCTGTTGCTTATGGCGGTTCGTTAGATTCACGCACAAATTCGTAATATGCCTTTTCATTGTTTTCACCCCTGTCATCGAATTTGCTGTTTCATCGGTTTAGGTTAGTTCCCGAAGTTTTTTCGATTTTCGATTTGAATTTTTGCGTGGTGTTATTAATTGATCTGGTTTGCTTGATAATTGATTATATATCTTCTAGTTTTGCGAGTTTGATGTTGTTTTCATATCAGAAATGCATTGAGATAAACAATGTTGATCAGCTTTAATTACTCCTTTGCACGCCTAAGCTTAATCCTTCCTGATCTGTATAAAATTTTGGAAATATTTGCCTTAAAATTTGTGAAAATTAATAGCTCTATGAATTGTTAATGGAGTGGATTTAGAAAGTGTTTGGCTTTTCTTAGTTTGATTGTTTACATATCTAATTGGCTTTTGGTTTTTATTATACCAATGGAACTAGTTTACCTACCTTCAAAATGAAAGACGGTTATTCTACAAGTTCAAAATTTAATGGGCTGTAAGAAGTAAAATGGAGATATGAACTGCTGGCTGAAGCAATAAAGAATAAATTGAGTTAATTGAAAGAATAAATTGAGTTAATTGATTAATGGAGTTGTGTACCTGACTGATGGGGAAAAGGATGAATATGCTGTTTCTCTTCTCTTTGAAGAGTGTCTTTCCTTTTAGAAATATTAACTTTCTATGCAATATGTAGGATTCTTGCAAATAGAAGAACCGCCAAGCCCTCCGAGGGTCTTCGAAAACACAAGCACCCCACTCCTTACTTTGAACCAGATTTGTGATAAAATCAGCACATTTGTTCCCTTCTCGAAAGACATGAGAGAAGGTGATTCTTCCAAACTTGGTAGCCATAACCATGCAGTCTTCCAAAAGGGTGCATGTGGAGTCGTCCTTCCCGTTGTCGTTCTGCATCAACTCAACCACCGTCTTGGAATCCAATTCAACGATAATCCGGTGAAGTCCCTTTTCAAGACAGAGTCGCTAAGTGTCCTACATTAAGTGGTTAAATTTTACAGTGCAAATGATTTGTGGTTTTGCTCCAATGGAATCTTTACAATGGCAGACAAACTTGATCTGCTTTGAGTCTCATGAAAATGATATGTGAACGAAAAGTGCAACGTCAATGATAATTTAGGGACGAAAAGTGAGTATGACCAACACGATGAATTCTACAATTATTCTATAACTTAAGGACGAAAAGTGCAATATTTCCTTTGTAGAGTCTAATGCATTTTTTGAAGCCTGGAGAAGAGTTCATTAACCAGTGAGGGAACCAACCAATGAGCCGCCTATCATGCGATGGAAGAAACCTCGTGCAGGTTGGATTAAACTCAATGTTGACACAACTTTTGACAAAGACTCTAAGATCACAGGGATGGGTTTCATCTTGAGAGACTCCCTCGCAGCTAAACAAGAAATATGGAGTGGCCTTTATCACCCAAAGATTGGGAAGGCTGTCAGGATAAGGGATTCTCTAAAATGGTTGAAGAGAATGGGAGCGGACTCAATCCTAAGGAAACTAATTAATATATTCTTCTGTATTAGCTTTGCTTTTGTTAAACGATTCGCGAACACGGCAACTCACTTGCTAGCCTGAGAAGCTTTGCTTTGGATGTTGTTTGACTTGTCTTCTTAATGAAATGTTTGTTGTTTTGTTTTTTTTTTTTTTTTGTTTTTTTTTTTTTTTTTAAATCTTCGGCAAAAACACATACACAGAATGTTGGGACCTATTTTCCTCCATATACACAAAACACATGGGTTAACCATATAAATTGAAAAGGAGTTCAATAAAATGTTTTAGAATACTCCAAAACTCATACCCGCATCCCATTTCAATATGCTATAGAATGGTACGAAAAATAAATTTCTTACAACTAATATAGTAAATAAATAAATAAATTTTGAAATGACAGTTTAAACCAAAATTCTAATTAGATTTCAGGTGTTCTGATTTAATATAAATGTGAACAGTTTTCGATTCGCATTTATTCTGATTTCAGTTTCAGTTTGAACCACTTGTTCAAAATTTATTTATTTAAATTTTATTTTCTATTTTAAAAGTTAATCTAAATGAAACAATTATTTTATTTTATTTTTCCGATTCTAAATCGTAACAATAATCATCCCTACTGTTTCAGTTCGGTGCCTCCTCTTTAAAAAGAGGGAGAAATAATTGTTTTTTAAAGAGTTAAATGGCAGCCATGGCTGACGGCCATAGCTATCATAGTTTGACATTGTTATACTTCTCTACATTTATCACTCACAAAAATTGTGCCACATCATGAGAAGAAATTAAGAGGGAAGTTTTTAGGAGAAATACAGATTTCATAAACTTGAAACAAAACTAGGTTACAAAATCCTCATAGAAACATACATAAAATCTGAAACCTGAGAAGGAACATTGAAAAACAAGATTTGGTTACATGCATAATCCAACTCAATTACTCCTTGAATGAACTACTTGTACAGGTTCAAGCAGAAAACACAGCCTCAACCAGCACATGCTTTCTCCTGGGATACCCCATGCCCACCAAATGGCTAACATACACTCTCCCATCCTTCACCGTGGCTGCAGTTGACACACGATGAATGGCGCCGTTGGTTTTGCCCACAATCCTAGCGCTTACCCAATCGTCAGAACTCTCGACCAGCCTTGTTGGGTTCCCAGCAACGACCAGCTTGTTGGGCGACAGAAGCTCCATGCCGTCTCCAAACCTCAGTGACCCTCCAACCACGTTAACAATCTCGACTTTGTTTCCCTTTGCTGTTTGGACCTTGTACAAATTGCCCGAGAAAGTGTGGACAACTAGCAGGTATCCGTTTGGATGATACACAATTCCATTGAGAGCAACCAAGTTCTTGTACCACTCTTTGGGGGTAAAAAGGGGACTCCTTATTGTATGCTGGAGCTCTCCCTCGGGCCCGACCTTCCATATCTTACTCGCTTTAGCGTCTGTTATGTATGCATTCCCCTCCTCATCAACCGCAACGTCATCTGCAAATGATTTCTCGTCCTCTGCATGATTAATTAACTAGGCGTTACTAAAACATTTTAAGTCGACGATGGAGGATAAAGTCTCACAACAAAAATGGAAACACTAAACAAGAAGGAATACAAGAGAGGGCCTTGGCTATCCCAACAATGACATTAGGGATCAATTTCTCAACATGCAACTGCATAGGATACCAATAAACATTTTTTTTCTAGTATTTGTTTTTGTTAGTCGTTAGTACAGTTCCTTCAATGGTCGATACAAACAATAGGGCTATAGAGAACAAACAAAAGGGTACTAACCAAGCATAATTATTAAGTTGGTAGGTGATTCTCAGACAAATAGAAAAGGATAACAAATAAGGCAAAACAAACAGAACCATCCTGATGCAGTATGGGCTGATTGCAGATCTGAGACATATATTCCATAGTTTGTCTGAGCATGAAACCTAATTAATGATCATGTAAAAGCGCAGAGTGTATGAATTGGTGGGGAATCATTAGAAATAATGTAAAGCTATTTTCCTCCTACAAGGAGATCTATAATACTTGAGTTCATGCCATAATAAGAAAACTTGTTTATCCTTAGTTTTCTACAGATAATAGAAGAATATGACTTCAAGAAAATTTATGTGCTTGCAGGCAACATTATCCTATTATTTTGCTCAGAATATGCCATCCGGGTTTTTTTTTTGTTTTTTTTTTTTTATAATGTTTTAATTAGTTAAATTTTTAATTAAAAAATTATTAATACAATCTCGTAAATCACATTTGACCAGGGTAGTGTAAATAGCAATATGAACACCCCTATGGCAATTTACACTACCTATAAGATTGTTGAATTTTTTGTCATTTTTACAATTCCAATGTGATTTACACCTACTTTTGTTTAGAGAGTAGTATAAATACCAACATCCGTGTAAAAATAGCCTATTAAGGAAAAATATGTGTAAATCACACTGAAATTGTAAAAAGGACAAAAAATTCAACAATTTTAAGACCACCAAAAGTCTTATGTAAACAAGAAGGAAGTTAGAAACGTTACCATGTCTAGTCAAGGAGAATGAGAAAAGTCTAGTCAAGGAGATTGGGAATATAATAGATTTATTAATTGTGATATTAAATAGCTTATAATTTGTATGGCTCAAATAAATTCAAAAACAATTTTCCATAAGTCAATGAAAACACACCAAACAATTAAAAACAATTGTCATAATATGTAGATGGAGTCAAACTAAATTTAAGTAAATTAGTCACCATTTTTATCGAAATTATGAATATACAATGTGTTACAATTCCAAGCTCAGCTAGTCAACAAATATCTTCAATAAAATCAATGAATATACCACTACATTGACTAAACACAACACCCCAATTTGATCATGAACCAACATAAGTCGTATTAGTAACTCCACCAACACAAAACATAGCGGCTTAGTTACTGCCTAGGCGACTTAATCGGTGTCTAGAAAGCCTATTCGACGTTTAGGAGGTCTAGGCGATCAATGCCTAGTCGGCCAGTCACCTAATCGGTGTTGGGCAAGCACCTAGGCGCGAATTGCAATATTTTTGCAACATTGAGAAGTTACCTAATATTCATAGTATTGGGCACACTAATTAGGAGGGAGTAGTTGTCACTTGTCAAACACTAATACAATAATACACCCTAACTACCTAATACAAAAACATTAGCCAAAGTCAAGAAATGACTTATAATAATTGAGATATTCAAAGCAGAGTAGTTGAGAAACCATAAAGTCTCTAATTGTAAGCAATTAAGGCAAAATATAGCCCACCAATTATTATTACTCTTTAAAGCGTTTTAAAAAAAATTAACTGGAAAGAAAAAATTTTAATGGTAAAAAACTGTTCTTTATAATCTTGCAAAGACTGGCAACCATAAAGATGCCCGCCCGACCCAAACCAACTCAAAGGACTAAACATACCTGGGCCGCCGAGTTTCGTAAGGAATATTCTCTTCCACGTGGACAAATCATACGCGGCCAGAGCGCTATACCGGTTCCCGAAAACATCGGCGACGGCCACGAGAAGACGGTTACGGCGACGGTCAATAGCGAGGCCAAGCGAGGCGTTCCCGGACAAGTCAACCTCCTTGACGAGCGGCGTTTCCTGGAGGACAGATCCGGCGGAGCCGTCGTGGTCGAGGGGGACGGGAATCTGGCCGACGCCGCCGTCGAAAAAGGTGACGAGGAATCGACGGCCCTGATCGTCCCACTTGGCGCACTCGCGGAACCACCCGGTGCTGTGGTACTGGATAACATCGGTGGACGGCCGGCCGGCGGTCTCAAGGTGGACGATAACGGCGAGGGGAATGGCGGAGACGATGAAGAAGAGTAACAGGAATTTTGCCGAGCAAGGGAAGACACTCGCCATGACTCACACCCTCCACGCTTCGCAGGCTGGCGAGAAGGATGAAGGGAGAAGGGAAAAGGCAGGGAGCAATTGAAGTGAGGCGGTGATTTATATAGAATAGCACAGCCATGGCGGAAAGATTACAGAAAATAGCAAAGAGGGGTTGGTGAATGATGGGTGAGAAAGTGTAGAGGCACACTAACTTTGATAGGCTGAATATCCTTCCTTTTGGACATTATTCGGGAACAAAAATCAATTATCCTTTTCTAGAAAAAATTAATTATCTTCTCAAAAAAATTTTAATTATAATTTGAAAATGAGTTAATTTCATTTTTGTCATATTTATAGTTGTCAATTCACTTTTAGTTATTTTTTTCGTAACATATTATTTGATCCTAGTAGCAGGACCATTTTGGTCCTTCAACAGCAAAATCATTTGAATTTTGTAAAATACAGTGATATTAGGTCTATAGTTATAAATTTTAAAAATAAAAATATAGCAGGTCAATCCATTTAAAAATAAAAAAAAAGATCGAAATGTCCCGAGTGATAGAGTTATACCCGACCATACCCGTGTCGTAAGTGGGCAATGTTGGTCGGTTCTCTCACAGTGCGTAACGCCGTCTCTGAATTGATCAGTTCTGAATTCTGACTTCTGACCGCTCTGGCGGTCAGGCGTCGTTCCTGACCGCCACGTCTAGAGCAGGCTGACGGAGACCGCGGCAGGAGATTTGCACCACGTGTAGGGTACTCGCGAGTGCGTGTAGGCCACACGACCGCTATGTTGGAAACCCGGGTCGTGTTCCCCAGTCCCTATAAATACCTGCATTTATAGCAGTAGGGGGACTTTCGACGCTTCACTTGACTGGAGCTTCTCGACCTACTGTCGCTAGTTCCCGAGCTCAAGCCCTAGACAATCGCATGATATATATGAGCCACCGTATATACACTATCACCGACATTTAAACGATTTTATAGATAGATGATAACAAATTTTCATGTCACAATAATATCATGACTAAAAAGGAATATTTTGAATAAAAATAGACTAAAAGTAGATTGATACCTATAAACAAAAAACCTAGGTGTATGGTTAAGTAGAAGAAATTCACTCATCCTTAACCAAAAGTCAAGAGAGTTCAATCCTTAGTTTTGACTAATCCCCTCACACATCAAGGCTACTCCATTTCCAAAGTTAAGAATCAAACCATTGACCTTTGGTTAAGAATGAATGAGTCCCTTCCACTCAACTATACCCTCCAAGTTGGGAATTAGTCACAAGGAAAAACCTTGGGTGTACCCAAAAAAAAATTTCAAAAAATAGGATTAATATAATGGTTTTTGGCCCATGTGCCCAACTCTAATTAAACAAATGGTGTTATATGATGGGTTCTCGGGAGTGGACAAAAGGAATCTGGCAGATTTTTTAATGGAAAAACGTTACACCTCATGACTATATGTCAATAACTGAATATTGGTATTATTATATTTAGTTATCAATTATCAACTTTATTTTTTTTTTTAAACATCAACTTTAAATTTAATTACATTTAATTTATAATTTTGTTCACATTTAGTCATTTTATAATTTTTATTATTGATGTTAATTTTTCAAACAATATGAATATTATATTTTTACTAAAAAAAAAATAATAATAATAATAAATTGTTGTGATTAATCTTCGTTTTACTTGTAGCGTATCCTGGTGAAACGGATGAAGTACTATATGACAAACGAGAGAGACAAGGAGAGGAAAAATAGAGACAAGTGTAATAGTAGAAATCTTATTCACAAACATCTCAATACATTACAATGACATATATATAATTACAACTATAACGGAAATCAATAATGACAGATATAAATACGGCCGTTACAACTTTTACACTATCTACTCATAATGTCTACAATTAATAATATTTATAACACTCCCCCTTGGACACTATTTTACCATAATCATGCCTCGTTAAAAAAACTCGTTAGAAAAACCCTGTGGAAAAAACCTAGTCGAGAAAATAATACACGATATATAGGTAATGTATGTGTTGTTTCGGTCGCCTCGGTAAAAACTTTAGCCTAATAACAAAAACAAAAAACCAATTTTGCATGTAAGATTTTTACAAGCACCCCAGCAAAAAGTGTGAATTAATCTTATTCGTCCATTTATGATGATTGACGACTAAAAATAAAAAAAAAAAAGAATGTAATAACATTTCCTTAACTATTGCAACGTATTTGGAATCGTTTTATAGTGCATTCGCAGCTAGATGACGGTGTAATCAGGATCTATAATATTATATTCAAATGTGTGTACAATTAGTTATCTGCATATACATTATCAAGCGTTTCTCAATGCAAATTAATAATACTATAAATGTCACAATGTTTTTCTCTATTTTTCCTTATTTTTTCAGCCATTGATCAACCCATATGGAAGGATGCTATTAATCCTTACTTTTTACGGCTGTCCGCCGCAGACAACCGGTAATTTTTTATTTTTAATAAACAAAAAATTTGTTTAAAAAAATAAAATAAAAAGGACACGTGTCAACACCGCATAGATTTAACCTAATAAAAAAATCAATTTGAACTTAATTGAACCATTTTACTGATTTAGGGGACTTGCATGGAACTTTTTTTACTTAGGGGACTCCATTATACTATTCAGTTAACTTAGATGGGCCAATTTGACCATTTTTCCTATACAAAATATTAATACTAAAAATGTACAATATGTTATTATTAAATGTATAAATTTAAAAAATTATGAGAAGTGCATATTTTATTGTTCAAATTTACATAATAAAATTGGTAATAGTATAAAAATGTCACCGATTTTTTTTGTATAAAATCAACCTAGTCCGTTTAATTTTTCCAAATAAAAGCTGAGATTGATTATTTATTATTTCCTAAGAACTTGTTCTTATATAATCTAACATGTATAGTAAATGTTTAATAATATATATATATATATATATATATATATATATATATATATATATATATATATATATATATATATATTTCATTTGTCACATTTATCTGTTCTACTTATTAAGCCGTTGAACGCAAATTATGCAGTGGACTCGTGTCCACGATGCATTGTTATTGTGGACACGAGTCCAAAACGACGTCGTTTTCAGGAAAAATGCGTCATTTTAGTTTTAAAAAAAAAATTGATTTTGTCTCGCCGTTAACGGCGTTATTCGTTTGTGCCATTCTGCATGTACAGTTGTGGGATTATGAATGTACAGTTAGGGAATTATGAATGTAAGTTATAAAATAATGAACACAGCGCTCTGACATTATGAACATATAGTGATAAAATTATGAACATAGAGCTCTAAAATTGTGAACATCGAGCTTTGAAAATTATGATTTTACAGTTATTGAATTATGAATGTACAGTTACGGAATTATGAATATACAGTAATGCAATTATGAATGTACAATTATGTAATTATGAATGTACAATTATAAAATTATGAACACAGAGCTCTGACATTATGAACTTACAATATGAACATATAGTGATAAAATTATGAACATAGAGCTCTAAAATTGTGAACATAGAGTTTCAAAAATTATGAAGTTACAGTTATTGAATTATGAATGTACAGTTATGAAATTATGAGTGTACAGTTATAGAAGTATGAATGTACAGTTATTGAATTATGAACATAGAGCTCTATTATGAGCATATAGTAATAAAATTATGAACATATACTTCTATAACGAAACGATCTGAAATTAAAAAAAAAAAAAAAAAGAGATAACAGTGCTTAACAACACTGTTACCCACGGGTCCATAGCATAACGATTGGCTGTTGAATGGGTAAACTAGACTAGTAATATGGTAGTTAAGTGGGCTGGGCTGTATTCATCGACAAGCCCATGTGTTTTGCCGACATCAACCCTACTTCTATTTTAGACGACTCATCAGTGTGAGACTCAAGATCGGATGAAGATGAGGGGGAGACGGGTAGTCAAGGGGTATGTAGAAGAAGAAGAAGAGTCATATTTCGGTTTGTGCGTGAATCTGACGCCTAGCTTTTGCTGTTGTTTATGGCTGTTCGTTAGATTCACGCACAAACTCGTAATATGCCTTTTCATTGTTTTCACCCCTGGTATCGGATTTGCTGTTTCATCGGTTTAGGTTAGTTCCCAAAGTCTTTTCGGGTTTCGAATTGAATTTTTGCGTGTTGTTATTAATTGATGTGGTTTGCTTGATAATTCAGTACATAGTTTCTAGTTTTGCGAGCTTGATGCTTTAATTAATCCTAGTTTTCATATCAGAAATGCGTTGAGATAAACAATTTTAATTAGTCCTTTGCACGCCTAAATTTAATGCTTGATCTGTATAAAATTTTGGAAATATTTGCCTTAAATTTATGAAAATTAATAGCTGAGTGGATTTAGAAAGTGTTTGGCTTTTCTTATTTTGATTTTTTACATATCTGATTGGCTTTTGGTTTTTATTATACTCTAGTTTACCTACCTTCAAAAGGAAAGACTGTTATTGTACCAAGTACAAAATTTAATGAGCTATAAAAGTAAAATGGAGATATGAACTTCTGGCTGAAGTAGTAAAGAATAAATTGAGTTAATTGATTAATAGAGCCGTCAGTTGTGTACCTGACTGATGGGGAAAAGGATGAATTTCTTATGCAACTATATGATGTTTCTCTTCACTTCGAAGAGTGTGTCTTTCCTTTTGGAAATATTAACTTTCTATGCAATATGTAGGATTCTTGCAAATAGACAATCTGCAGCTCAAGGAGCAAAAAGTTCATTCTCAATATGACCAAACCATCTTGATCTCACTTTTTTTGTTTTTAAACGAACGATTTTGTAGTTGCTTCTCACTCCCGGTATTTCACTGTCAACTGCTCCTTCCCAATTCCCCTCCTATACACAAACATTCCAGAATTTCCTTAAGTTTTTTGTTTTTTCGAGGAAACTTGTTCTGGCATTTTTGAGGAAGATGAGATTTATTTCAAGATTGCTGATGGGGAAAAGAGGTACTGGTTTGCTTTTTATAGTTCATAAACTGAACTGTGAACATTGCATTCCTTGTCCCTGTGCAAGATCTGTGGCAGATCACTAGTGGTTGAAGTTTCATATGCTTCAAACTATACATTTTAAATTTATTTCCTGACAGTTTATA